CACACCGGTTCTCTTTGGCCCCCCACTTTATAAGGGTCTAGGCTTGGGCCTGTGCCAATGGCATCAGCCAGGAATGAAATGTCATTAGCTGGTAATTGTAAAGCTTTTTTCCTGTAAATGTCAGCGTTGCTGCAGCACTTTCTGTACATCATAGAGAAGCCCCTTCACAGGCGGGGTTAGGACCCCCCCAGGCATGTTATTAAAAGGAATTGAGAATTTTACATTTTTACACCTTACAAAATCACTGCTCCTGACTACATTTTTTTTTGCATTGGTCCATGTTCCCCAGGGCAGTGCCCATCCACCATGCTTTTTTTGACACCCCCTTGCCTATTAGCCCAAAAAAATAGGCATTTTCAATTTGACAGAGTTGGCTCCCTTTGATTTCAGTGGGGTTCAGGTTCAGCATCCATCCTTGTTTGAAGTTCATTGAACATTGCTCAAACCGAACCCGACCATAATAACACAGAAAAGACATTTGATCATCAAGTAGTAGCAATGGCCCCGTTCCATACCTTGGAAGTATGAGGAGGAAACCTTTATGAAGAGAACCTGTCTGGCACAGTAATGGGGAAGTCAGACAATGTTTTCTCCATCTATCAGTCTATACCTGATCACTATGCCTTCACCTGTACAGTATTGCTCTGCCTTTGGCATTCATGATATGCCATTGAACAGTTCCCATGGGCTCTAGTTGTTGCCACCATGACTCAAGCTGTGTACTGGAAAGGGGCCCCACCAGTGACATCTGAGTCTCACTTCTCCCTCTGCCCGTAGAGCCTGGCACACAGTATAGTCCCTCCTACCTCATGGCCAATGAGTGTTTGTAAAGCAAATCTACTTCCAGCGCCATATAATTATAGAACATTCTACCAGCCTGAGCCTTGGCACCGCTCCCCCTCTGAAAGCAGACCAGCAGGATCACATGACCTGATTTTAGTGGACAGATTTATAATAACGCTTCTTAATTCATGAGCCAGAACTTGGGGTTCCTCTATTGATTGATGTCTTTGTTCCTCGGCCTCGCTTCCCCCTTTTCACCAGGAATGTTCTATTTATTAGATCTCTACATTCCACAGGAGCATTGAGGCCTGGAGGAACCTGACTTTACAATGATTAGTGTTGGCACAGAATGGGTGTTGGGAAGGTTCTGCCCCAGATAACGATGTTCTAATATTAGTGTCTTCTACTATCATTGGAGATTGGTGGTTGTGAAGATTGTGAGGACCACATGGTGGGAGTTCTTATGGTTGTGCAGGTTCAGGGGATGTCCGTCGCCTTGCAGTCTACAGAGATGCCAACCTGGAACATGCAGGAGAGGAGCTCCATTTATACCGGCTGCAGGCTTTTGCAGATCATTGACTCTCCACATAGAGAAGCCAATTAGGTTGTCTGAGATTGCAGTAACAATGGCCGCTCCAAATTTCTATTCCTACAAGTTCACCCAAACATCAACTCTGCTTTTCTTCACAGGAATCCTTCATGAGCCAAGGTTTGCTGAAATAACACATTACTTATAATAAATGTTTCAGCAACAGTAATACTGAGTGTCAGATCTGCTAAAAGAAATGTTGTGGAAACATAATACCGATCCAAGAAGCCGGCACCAGTTATGGACTGTCATCCATTTCTGTACACAACCCCAGGAATCAGGACCTCATATGGTCGCCTTGGACTGTGCAGTTTCCATGAATTGGGAGAGTTATGAGTTATGGTGTAGGTCCAGTGGCGTCCCGAGGCAGGTGCGGGGGGTGCGGTCCGCACCGGGTGACACCGACCGCACGGGGTGACACCGGACCCGCTCCACAAAAAGGTAAGTTGTAAAGCAGCAAGCCAACGATCCCCCAGGATGCATCGGATCTGCGGATTGAGCATAATGGATTGCAGATCCGATCCTTTCTGTGGGGATCGTCGGAGGGGGTGTTACAGAGTGTTACCGCACCGGGTGACACCAACCCTGGGACGCCCCTGTGTAGGTCACTCACTGCCTGGACTAATTTGTAGAAACAATCCTCACCTTTGTGTCCAAATTTCTTACTGGCAACACAATTTGTGAATTCTCTAATTGGCGAGCTACTGAACTAAGGAATTTCCTAGCAGCTGCTGGACTGACAGCATATTACAACCAGCCACTGGCATGGAAAAGTACGGCCCTGGAAGGAATAGTACATGGGAGGTTTGTAGGTAAAGATTTCAGAGGAACATTGAAAGCCAACATTTGCCCTCATTATCCTCTAGCCATAAATCTCTTCCCATGTCCTGACGTCGGCACATACCGGGACATACCATACCTGGGCTCTGCTGTTGAGTTTCATGTCTTCCGGCTCCTGCTTGGCTTTATCTGGTGTCAGTTTCTCTTTCTGGAGTTTCTTCTTCTCAGCAGCTGCCTTCTTGGCCTCCAGCTGCCTCTGCCTGCAAGACTTGGCCGGCTCGGGAAGCTTCCGGACCTCTCGAGGGAAGGAGGTGAGCACTTGTAGTCCTCCTTTCCTGATCTTCTCTGCCTGGGCCTCCTCATTCCCAAACTCGTCTGTATTGCAGATCTTGTAAAGGGGCAGCACATGGAGCTGTTCATCTTCAGCGATCTTCCCCACCGTCCTGTTGTCCTCCTTCGTCAGGGTGCAGACCTACATAGACAGACGGGAGGGTCATTGTCATCCCACAGTACAGGACCACTGTGGACCACCCAAGCCGGGCAATCCTGAGACAGCGACCAGAACACAATAGACTTCAATAAGTACTCAGTATGTATGCCGCAACTTCCGAGAATGAGCTGCAATGTAAGGGACACTCTTCCCACTGACCCCCAATGTAAGGGACACTCTTCCCACTGACCCCCAGTGTAAGGGACACTCTTCCCACTGACCCCCAATGTAAGGGACACTCTTCCCACTGACCCCCAATGTAAGGGACACTCTTCCCACTGACCCCCAATGTAAGGGACACTCTTCCCACTGACCCCCAATGTAAGGGACACTCTTCCCACTGACCCCCAATGTAAGGGACGTTCTTCCCACCGACCCCCAATGTAAGGGACATTCTTCCCACTGACCCCCAATGTAAGGGACATTCTTCCCACTGACCCCCAATGTAAGGGACATTCTTCCCACTGACCCCCAATGTAAGGGACATTCTTCCCACTGACCCCCAATGTAAGGGACATTCTTCCCACTGACCCCCAATGTAAGGGACACTCTTCCCACTGACCCCCAATGTAAGGGACACTCTTCCCACTGACCCCCAATGTAAGGGACATTCTTCCCACTGACCCCAATGTAAGGGACATTCTCCCCACTGACCCCCAATGTAAGGGACGTTCTTCCCACTGATCACCAATGTAAGGGACACTCTTCCCACCGACCCCCAATGTAAGGGACACTCTTCCCACTGACCCCCAATGTAAGGGACACTCTTCCCACTGACCCCCCAATGTAAGGGACATTCTTCCCACTGACCCCCAATGTAAGGGACACTCTTCCCACTGACCCCCAATGTAAGGGACACTCTTCCCACTGACCCCCAGTGTAAGGGACACTCTTCCCACTGACCACCAATGTAAGGGACACTCTTCCCACTGACCCCCAATGTAAGGGACATCTTCCCACTGACCACCAATTTAAGGGACACTCTTCCCACCGACCCCCAATGTAAGGGACACTCTTCCCACTGACCCCCAATGTAAGGGACACTCTTCCCACTGACCCCCAATGTAAGGGACACTCTTCCCACTGACCCCCAATGTAAGGGACATTCTTCCCACTGACCCCCAATGTAAGGGACACTCTTCCCACTGACCCCCCCAATGTAAGGGACATTCTTCCCACTGACCCCCCCCAATGTAAGGGACATTCTTCCCACTGACCCCCAATGTAAGGGACATTCTTCCCACTGACCCCCAATGTAAGGGACACTCTTCCCACTGACCCCCAATGTAAGGGACACTCTTCCCACTGACCCCCAATGTAAGGGACACTCTTCCCACTGACCCCCAATGTAAGGGACACTCTTCCCACTGACCCCCAATGTAAGGGACACTCTTCCCACTGACCCCCAATGTAAGGGACATTCTTCCCACTGACCCCCAATGTAAGGGACATTCTTCCCACTGACCCCCCAATGTAAGGGACATTCTTCCCACTGACCCCCAATGTAAGGGACATTCTTCCCACTGACCCCCAATGTAAGGGACATTCTTCCCACTGACCCCCAATGTAAGGGACATTCTTCCCACTGACCCCCAATGTAAGGGACATTCTTCCCACTGACCCCCAATGTAAGGGACATTCTTCCCACTGACCCCCCAATGTAAGGGACATTCTTCCCACTGATCCCCAATGTAAGGGACATTCTTCCCACTGACCCCCAATGTGACCCCCAATGTAAGGGACATTCTTCCCACTGACCCCCAATGTAAGGGACATTCTTCCCACTGACCCCCCAATGTAAGGGACATTCTTCCCACTGACCCCCAATGTAAGGGACATTCTTCCCACTGACCCCCAATGTAAGGGACATTCTTCCCACTGATCACCAAATGTAAGGGACATTCTTCCCACTGACCCCCAATGTAAGGGACATTCTTCCCACTGACCCCCAATGTAAGGGACGTTCTTCCCACTGACCCCCAATGTAAGGGGCATTCTTCCCACTGACCCCCAATGTAAGGGACAATTCTTCGCACTGACCACCAATGTAAGGGACATTCTTCCCACTGACCCCCCAATGTAAGGGACGTTCTTCCCACTGACCACCAATGTAAGGGACATTCTTCCCACTGACCCCCAATGTAAGGGACATTCTTCCCACTGACCCCCAATGTAAGGGGCATTCTTCCCACTGACCCCCAATGTAAGGGACACTCTTCCACTGACCACCAATGTAAGGGACATTCTTCCCACTGACCACCAATGTAAGGGACACTCTTCCCACTGATCCCCAATGTAAGGGACATTCTTCCCACTGACCCCCCAATGTAAGGGACATTCTTCCCACTGACCCCCAATGTAAGGGACATTCTTCCCACTGACACCCAATGTAAGGGACATTCTTCCCACTGACCCCCAATGTAAGGGACATTCTTCCCACTGACCCCCAATATAAGGGACATTCTTCCCACTGACCCCCAATGTAAGGGACATTCTTCCCACTGACCCCCAATGTAAGGGACATTCTTCCCACTGACCCCCAATGTAAGGGACATTCTTCCCACTGACCCCCAATGTAAGGGACATTCTTCCCCCTGACCCCCAATGTAAGGGACATTCTTCCCCCTGACCCCCCAATGTAAGGGACATTCTTCCCACTGACCCCCAATGTAAGGGGCATTCTTCCCACTGACCCCCAATGTAAGGGACATTCTTTCCACTGACCACCAATGTAAGGGACATTCTTCCCACTGACCCCCAATGTAAGGGACATTCTTCCCACTGACCCCCAATGTAAGGGACATTCTTCCCACTGACCCCCCCAATGTAAGGGACATTCTTCCCACTGACCCCCCAATGTAAGGGACATTCTTCCCACTGACCCCCAATGTAAGGGACACTCTTCCCACTGACCCCCAATGTAAGGGACATTCTTCCCACTGACCCCCAATGTAAGGGACATTCTTCCCACTGACCCCCAATGTAAGGGACATTCTTCCCACTGACCCCCCAATGTAAGGGACATTCTTCCCACTGATCCCCAATGTAAGGGACATTCTTCCCACTGACCCCCCCAATGTAAGGGACATTCTTCCCACTGACCCCCCCAATGTAAGGGACATTCTTCCCACTGACCCCCAATGTAAGGGACATTCTTCCCACTGACCCCCAATGTAAGGGACATTCTTCCCACTGACCCCCAATGTAAGGGACATTCTTCCCACTGACCCCAATGTAAGGGACATTCTTCCCACTGACCCCCAATGTAAGGGACATTCTTCCCACTGACCCCCAATGTAAGGGACATTCTTCCCACTGACCCCCAATGTAAGGGACATTCTTCCCACTGACCCCAATGTAAGGGACATTCTTCCCACTGATCCCCAATGTAAGGGACATTCTTCCCACTGACCCCCAATGTAAGGGACATTCTTCCCACTGACCCCCAATGTAAGGGACATTCTTCCCACTGACCCCAATGTAAGGGACATTCTTCCCACTGACCCCCAATGTAAGGGACATTCTTCCCACTGACCCCCAATGTAAGGGACATTCTTCCCACTGACCACCAATGTAAGGGACATTCTTCCCACTGATCACCAATGTAAGGGACATTCTTCCCACTGACCCCCAATGTAAGGGATGTTCTTCCCACTGACCCCCAATGTAAGGGACACTCTTCCCACTGACCCCCAATGTAAGGGACACTCTTCCCACTGATCCCCCAATGTAAGGGACATTCTTCCCACTGACCCCCAATGTAAGGGACACTCTTCCCACTGACCCCCAATGTAAGGGACATTCTTCCCACTGACCCCCAATGTAAGGGACTTTCTTCCCACTGACCCCCAATGTAAGGGACATTCTTCCCACTGACCCCCAATGTAAGGGACACTCTTCCCACTGACCACCTATGTAAGGGAAGGGATTGGCTAGAACTGGGGGGTGCAGAATCTGGTGCAGTTCTGTAGAGGAACCAATCAGCTTCCAGGATTTATTGTCAAGTGTCGCTGAGCAAGCTGAAGGTAGAAGCTGATTGGCTGCCCCGGATTGCAGTAGATCCCCCCAGTGGAGGGTTGTCCTTCCCATGAAGATGCGGCGGCTGGGAGCGACTCCTTACCACAGTGCAGCCATTGTAGAGGTTGTGCTGATCTTTGTGTGCGTGGGCGCAGAAATCCATACATGCCGTCACCCCAGAGAACGGGCGTCCTTCCTCCAACCCCAGACGGCAGTCTATTGCTACTTCCTCATTGTTGACCTGAAAGAGAGAAAACAATCGGGTTCCGTGAGTGTCATCTGTGGGGCCAATCCACCACAACTCCTCTCCAGAACCAGCCAGAACTTCAGATGGACCAGAAAGCTGACAATTCGATCTTTAGACATCGACTGGGGAAGAGTCGCCCAGCCAGCTGCTGCTTGTGTCGTCTGCTGACCTCCTGTGTACGGGTGCAGGGATGGTGGGAACCCCTCATCATGGGTGCAGGGATGGTGGGAACCCCTCATAATGGGTGCAGGGATGGTGGGAACCTCCTCATAATGGGTGTAGGGATGGTGGGAACCTCCTCATAATGGGTGCAGGGATGGTGGGAACCTCCTCATAATGGGTGTAGGGATGGTGGGAACCTACTCATAATGGGTGCAGGGATGGTGGGAATTCATAAAATGCACAGGGATGGTGGGAACCCCCTCATAATGGGTGCAGGGATGGTAAAAACCCCCTCATAATGGGTGAAGGGATGGTGGGAACCCCCTCATAATAAGCACAGGGATGGTGGGAACTCATAATGGGGAAGGGATGGTGGGAACCCCTCATAATGAGCTCAGGGATGGTGGGAACCCCTCATAATGAGCTCAGGGCTGGTTGGAACCCCTCATAATGGGGCAGGGATGGTGGGAAACCCTCATAATGGGGCAGGGATGGTGGGAATCCCTCGTAATGGGCGCAGGGCTGGTGGGAACCCCTCGTAATGGGGCAGGGATGGTGGGAACCCCTCATAATGGGTGCAGGGATGGTGGGAACCCCTCATAATGGGGCAGGGATGGTGGGAACCCCTCATAATGGAGCAGGGATGGTGGGAACCCCTCATAATGAGCTCAGGGCTGGTTGGAACCCCTCATAATGGGGCAGGGATGGTGGGAAACCCTCATAATGGGGCAGGGATGGTGGGAATCCCTCGTAATGGGCGCAGGGCTGGTGGGAACCCCTCGTAATGGGGCAGGGATGGTGGGAACCTCCTCATAATGGAGCAGGGATGGTGGAAAACCCCTCATAATGGGGCAGGGATGGTGGGAACCCCTCATAATGGAGCAGGGATGGTGGGAACCCCTCATAATGGGTGCAGGGATGGTGGGAACCCCTCATAATGGGGGCAGGGATGGTGGGAACCCCTCATAATGGAGCAGGGATGGTGGAAACCCCTCATAATGGGGCAGGGATGGTGGGAACCCCTCATAATGGGCGCAGGGCTGGTGGGAACCCCTCATAATGGGGAAGGGATGGTGGCAACCCCTCATCATGGGTGCAGGGATGGTGGGAACCCCTCATAATGGGCGCAGGGCTGGTGGGAACCCCTCATAATGGGGCAGGGATGGCGGGAAACCCTCATCATGGGTGCAGGATGGTGGGAACCTCCTCACAATGGGTGCAGGGATGGTGGGAACTCATAATATGCACAGGGATGGTGGAAACACCTCATAATGGGCAGGGATGGTGGGAACTCATAATGGGGAAGGGTAGGTGGGAACCTCCTCACAATGAGCTCAGGGATGGTGGGAACCCCTCATAATGGGGCAGGATGGTGGGAAACCCTCATAATGGGGCAGGGATGGTGGGAAACCCTCATAATGGGGGCAGGGATGGTGGGAACCCCTCATAATGGGTGCAGGGATGGTGGGAACCCCTCATAATGGGTGCAGGGATGGTGGGAACCTCCTCATAAAGTGTGTAGGGATGGTGGGAACCTACTCATAATGGGTGCAGGGATGGTGGGAAACCCTCATCATTGGTGCAGGGATGGTGGGAACCCCTCATCATGGGTGCAGGGATGGTGGGAAACCCTCATCATTGGTGCAGGGATGGTGGGAACCCCTCATCATGGGTGCAGGGATGGTGGAACCTCCTCACAATGGGTGCAGGGATGGTGGGAACCTCCTCAAAATGGGTGTAGGGATGGTGGGAACTCATAATATGCACAGGGATGGTGGGAACCCCCTCATAATGGGTGCACTGATGGTGGGAACCCCCTCATAATGGGTGCCGGGATGGTGGAAACCCCTCATAATATGCGCAGGGATGGTGGGAACCTCCTCATAATGAGCTCAGGGATGGTTGGAACCCCTCATAATGGGGCAGGGATGGTGGGAACCCCTCATAATGGGGAAGGGTAGGTGGGAACCCCTCATAATGGGGCGCAGGGCTGGTTGGAACCCCTCATAATGGGTGCAGGGATGGTGGGAACCCCTCATAATGGGCGCAGGGCTGGTTGGAACCCCTCATAATGGGTGCAGGGATGGTGGGAACCCCTCATAATGGGGCAGGGATGGTGGGAACCCCTCATAATGGGCGCAGGGCTGGTTGGAACCCCTCATAATGGGTGCAGGGATGGTGGGAACCCCTCATAATGGGGCAGGGATGGTGGGAACCCCTCATAATGGGGCAGGGATGGTGGGAACCCCTCATAATGGGAACAAGTATGGTGGAAACCCCTCATAGTGGGCACGGCGGGTGTACAGACCCCGGAACTCAGCGCAGGGATGGTGGGAACCCCTCATAATCCCATCCTCATCTCATTCCATCATCCTCATCACCATCCTCATCCTGTCCTCATCCCGTCCTCATCCCATCCTCATCCCATCCCAGCCTAATCACATCCCATCCCCATCCTCATCACATCCCATCCCATCCTCATCCCATCCAATCCCCATCCTCATCACATCCCATCCCATCCTCATCCCATCCTATCCCATCCTCATCCCATCCTCATCACATCCTCATCACATCCTCATCCCATCCTATCCCATCCCTCATCCCATCCTCATCCCATCCTCATCACATCCTCATCACATCCTTATCCCATCCTCATCCTCATCCCATCCCATCCTCAACTCATCCTCATCCCATCCATCCTCATCACATCCTCATCACATCCCTCATACCATCCTCATCCCATCCCTTTCATCACATCCTTATCCCATCCTCATCACATCCCATCCCCATCCTCATCACATCCTTATCCCGTCCTCATCCCATCCCATCCCCATCCTCATCACATTCAATCATCCCATCCCAATCCCATCCTCATCACATCCTCATCACATCTCATCCCATCCCATCCCCATCCTCATCACATCCTCCATATCCCATCCTCATCCCATCCTCATCACATCCTCATCCCATCCTTATCCCATCCTCATCCCATCCCATCCCCATCCTCATCACATCCTCATCCCATCCCATCCCATCCTCATCCCATCCTCATCACATCCTCATCCACATCCTCATCCCATCCCATCCCCATCCTCATCACATCCTTATCCCATCCTCATCATCATCCCATCCCCATCCTCATCACATCCTCCCCCATCCTCATCACATCCTCCTATCACATCCCATCCCCATCCTCATCCCATCCCCCCCATCCTCATCACATCCCATCCCCATCCCAATCATCACATCCTCACATCCTCATCCCATCCTCATCACATCCTCATCACATCCCATCTCCATCCTCATCACATCATCCCATCCCATCCTCATCCATCCTTATCCCATCCTCATCCCATCCCATCCCCATTCCTCATCACATCCTCATCACATCCTCATCCCATCCCCATCCCATCCTCATTACATCCCATCATCCATCATCTCATCCTCCATCCTTTCCACCCATCCCATCCTCATCCCCATCCCCCCATCCCCACATTCCCCCACCCATCCCCCATCCATCACATCCCATTCCCCATCCTCATCACATTTATCCCATCCTCATACCATCCCATCCTCATCACATCCCATCCCCATCCTAATCCCATCCCATCCCCCATCCCCAACAATCCCATCCCATCATCCCATCACATCCCATTCATCATCCCCATCATCCATCACAATCCATCATCCCCTTCCATCCCAGCCTCATCACATCCTCATCCCATCCTCATCACATTCCTCATCCCATCCCATCCCCATCCTCATCCCATCCCATCCCCATCCTCATCCCATCCCAATCCATCCCCATCCCTCCCATCCATCATCCCATCACATCCTCATCACATCCCATCCCCATCCTCATCACATCCTTATCCCATCCTCATCACATCCTTATCCCATCCTCATCCCATCCCATCCCCATCCTCATCACATCCTCATCACATCCTCATCCCATCATCCCATCCCATTACAT